CAAAGACATGTAGCAACATACATCTTGGCCTAAATTTATGAAGAACAATTATTTATTTGCAAACTTTTATAACAGAAACAAAGAAAAACGTGTTTTGTTTTCAAACTTTTTGGTCTTTTTTTGTTAATTTAACAAAAAATAAAAACCCCAGCAGTGATTAAGTACCACCCAAAAAAAGATCTAGTTGTGTGAAGAAAATAATAAAATTTTAGTTTGGGTACAGTGTTGTATGACCGCGCAATTGTCATTCAAAGTGTGAGAGTGCTGAAACCTGAAAATTGGCCTGGGCAGGAAGGGGGTAAAAGTGCCCGGTATGGCAGTGGTTAAGTATTTGCTCACTCTTGAGTTTAAACCATAAATTGTTATTTACACCGCAACAAATTAATGTAAGAGGTAATAGCTAAAAATGTGAAAGTCATATCAAGAATGACTTTAACCACTTGCCCTCCAGAAGATTTACCCCCCTTAATGACAAGACCCTTTTTTGCTATTCGGCACTGCGCCACTTCAATTGGTAATTGAACGGTCATGCAATGCTATACCCCAAAAAAATGTATGTCCTTTTTTCACACACATAGAACCTTCTTTTGGTGGTATTTGATTACCAATGGGTTTTTACTTTATGAGATATAAATGAAAAAAGACCAAAAATTTCGAAAAAAAAATCAATATTTTTTACTTTTTGTTAAATATATAGTAAACTCAAAGTTAGTCATAAATTAAGGCCAATATGTATTCATGTCTTTGGTAAAAAAATCCCAATACATGTATATTAATTGGTTTGTGTGAAAGTTATAGCATCTACAAACTATGGTATATATTTTGGAATTTACGCAGCTTTTACTTTCTGACTGCCTATTAAATTTCTTGAGGTACTAAAATGCCAGGGCAGTACAAAAAACGCATTCTTTTCTGTCATGCCCATGTTGAAAGTTAGGCCCAAAAAAGTTTTAAATGCAGAAACTGTGATAGATTTCCATGCAAATTGTCTGGCAAGAGCTGAATTTGGGTGGGCGGCCATGTATTGTGTGTATAAATTGCTTTGGCCCACAATCAATTGATACAAATTTTCCTCTGAAAAACAGTGGAGGGGCTAAACACTAGTGCTGACAGCGAATGGGGCTGATCCTGATAACACTGGATTTTTGGTGACACTATACTAAGGAGGCACTAGTATAGTTCTGTTTGTGATCAATATATTGATCTGTACAAACACTATACTAGTAATGGCGGTGTCCAGGAACCTATAGCATGAGTGCGATAGTGTGCGGGCAATCTAACGCTAGCTGACCCTGGCTGGGAGGGGTGCTAACTGACCCTGGAGCTATCTGCTAGTGGCAGAAATACAGTGATCAGTGAAAAATTCTACATACTGGCACTGTACTAATGGTACTGGCTGGGTGGCGGGGTGATGAAAGGATTAATATAGGCAATCAAAAAGTTAAATGTACTAATGTATTGTGTGCGTGTAAAATGTAGTGCTTTTACTCAGTGCCGTGTTCGTTCTTATCTCCCTGGACGGCATAGGGGCAGCATGGGGTGCACGCATGCACATGTACACCTAGAGATAGAAAGCAACATAATATTATGTAGCTTTGACCAAAGCCGCTGCTTTCCCACACATTGTTGGTGGGTGGGTGGGTGGGTGGCAAGTAAATAAAATAACTAACTAAATAAATAGTTCTGCAGTTATTATTATTTATTTATTTCAGGTACTTATATAGCGCCGTCAATTTACACAGCGCTTTACACACATATATATATATATATATATATATAGTACATTCACATCAGTCCCTAACCCTCAAGGGGTGTACAATCTAAGGTTCCTAACTTACATTCATACATACACATACTAGGGCCAATTTAGACAGGATCCAATTTACCTACCAGCATGCCTTTGGAGTGTGGGAAGAAACCGGAGAACCTGGAGGAAACCCACGCAGGCACAGGGAGAACATGCAACTCCAGGCAGGTGGTGCTGTGGCTGGGATTCGAACCAACGACCCTAGTACTGCCAGGTGGAAGTGCAAACCATTTAGCCACTGTGCTAACCGTAGTAACATTGTACTACTTTGGGGGCTTGATCAGGGATTTTTTTTTTTAGACTTTGCATTGCATGAGCAATGAGTTTGATTGCTCGGCAATGCTAAGCTCGCTTTGAACTGTCATGAATGTGCTAAGTTCATGACAGTGTAATATAATAGTGATCTGTGATTGGCTCCAGCTGGTCACATGGTACAGGGTGCTATGATGGACCCATGTGTCATGTAAGAGCTGTGGACAAATCACAGCTCTCCAGGAACAGAAGCAAAGCTTTTATGAATCAGATTGATTCATAAAAGTTTTGTTGTCATTGTGATCATGTGATCGCATAGTGAGCACATGATCAACGGGTCCCTATTACCAGGATTCTCATTCTGCGGTGTACAGTGGACACAGCAGACGTGGGGGATAGGGTTGAGTGCTTGGCTGGGCAGTGCCCCCCCCCCTTGTTGGCAAAAGACCAGCATTGTACGGGTATGTCATTGGTCTTGTAGCTGCCGTCTGTCCGCAGTACATTGGCTGATGCCAGCCTGTAGCTGCCGCCTGTCCGCAGTACATTGGCCAGCCCGAAAGTGGCTAAGGTAAACAAAGCAATAAAAAAACTAAAAATACTCACTAACTGTAAGTACACATTTTCCCTTTAAAGAGCAACTAAACCCTTATATCCTTTACAGCAGTGGTCTCCAAACTATGGCCGGGGGCTGCATACAGCCCTTTGCTTGCCCTTATCTGGCCCTTGGGGCACTTTTTCTCCCACTGATACAAGATACTATTCCTCTCACTGACAACAAGGGGGCATAATTCCTGCTGCTGACATCAACAACAGGCACTATTCCTCCCATTGACACCTATGATAGGGCACTATTCCTCATATTTACACCAACAATTGGGCACTATTCCTCTCACTGAAACAAATCAAATCACGAGGCACTGTTCCTCCCATTGACACTAACAATGGGGCACTATATTTCTCACTGACACCGATGGGGCACTATTTCTCCAACCTACACCAAGAATAGGGCACTATTCCTCCCCCTAATGCCAAAGATGCATTGTTTACTCCCAATGACGCAGGACAATATCTACTCCCAAGGGCCACAGTGCGGCCCCCCTAAAGTCTGAAAGCCAGTAAACTGGCCCTTTAGAAAGTTTGGAGACCCCTGCTTTACAGCCATGGAAGCTGCCATCTTGGCCTCTGTTTGATCTGCATTTTCCATGGTGCTGCACAGTGATCAGTTATGACACCAGCCAATTGATGGCTTGACAATTCAGCTGAGAGTATAAAGTCACTGTGACAGTTAGCATTCATGGCATGCTTTGAATGTAACTGTTTCAACTACATTTATGTATGCATTCAATGTTGACAAAAGAAGACATTGGACAAAAATTTATTTTAAAACCCTGATGATTGTTAAAAGTGCATACTATTCAAATACCTTCATAGGATCAGTATACATTTTAAACTTAAAAATAGAAATTGTGAAAGATTGTTATGAGCACCATCATTAAACCCAGGACAGGGTTAATTTGGTTTGTTTGCAGGCTAGCTGGTAAGTGTGCTGGGAAATTCTTGTTTGCTTGTACAACTGCATAAAGCAGCATTTTTAATACATCTCAATTGGTGATGGTATGCAGCCGTTGCAGGTCCCGGAAGAGTGATTATGAAGGTTCTCTGGCCCCTAAACAGCTGTGCGTGTGTGAATATAAAAATGATCTGAGAGGCTTGAAAAGTTGTTTATACCACTCAGAAAACTTCTATGTTTAGAAAAGCTAAATACAGGAGTAGCAATGTGAACGAGGCCTAAATGTTCCACTTTAAAACATTATTAAACAGATTTAAATATAAAGATCTAGAAGCTAGGCTTCCGCATGTCAAGGTAAATCATTTTCATTGTGTCCCTTTTTGTCAGTGGGGAGAGACTGAGTTTTTTCTCATTTTAAATTGTTCATAGCTTGTAGTCAACCAGAGGACTGCTACAAAAAAAACACTTTGAAAAGTAAGAAATATTTTTTCATTAACTTTAAGTATGCTGTGTGAATAGAAACAAATTACCGACTTACGCTAGGTTCACACTATTGTGGGTGGTTGGGGGTGCAGGAATCACAGCTGCACCAACAGTCAAAACGCGCTACTCTTAGAGACATGCAGGACTACCATTCATTTTTAATGGCACTCCCACCCATCTAAAACCATAGTGCATGTGTGGGAACCACAGGGAAATCGCATGGATTGCTGCAGTTTAATATTGCTGCAGAAATACAGGCACAGCAGCACAAATGAGGAGCAGTGTGAACCTAACCTTATACTGGGGTTTTCTCAAATTTGAGTGAAAAAGTAGAAATAAACTCATACTACCTGTGTTTCAGTTGCTTTTTTTCTGCATCCAAAATGCACAGAAAGTAGGTTATATGGTTGTCAATGTCATAGATCACATCAGTGTTTGCAGTTCCAGTGCGTTCCAGTTGCAGAAGTAGAACATGCTGCATTTTTTCTGCACAGAACTTGTACTGGGACGTAGTAAAACACATAAAAAATATACAGGAACGCACCAAAATGCACTGGAACGCACATGTCCCTATTTATATTGAAGAAAAAGGAAAAAATGAACTGGAATTCATCAAAAAATGCATCAAAAACGCACCAGAACACGTCAAAAAACACGCATGCAAAAATGTATCCAGAACACATCTGGACTGCATTTCTATAGTGTGATCCGGCTCTAAAGAGTTTTCCATTCGTGTGTAAAAGAGTTAAAAGCAAGATGATCAGGAATTCATCTATTCCTATTTATGTACATGTATATATTTATTCTCTTTAATAGAGATGAGCGAAGAAATGAAAATTAAAAAGGGTGTTTCTAGGCTTCAGAGAGACTTAATATTAGTGCAGAACACTGTACCTTTAATTTAAATGCCCTTGGAGTCTGCTGGGGAAGAGAAATAATACTGTCAGTCAGTATGACATGCAGATGAGTGCCGTCGATCTTAGAATCACCGCACACTTCACTCATTTGGGCAGTCACGGGGCCAAAACCAGAGTGTGGAGCCACAGTGTGGCGGTGGAGGCAGCAGCAATGGGAGGCCATACAGCACCCTATGACAAAAATGGAAACCACCAGCAGTGTGAGGAGACCTGAAAGTGGCACATGGCAGAGTGTGGCGATAGAGACAGCAGCAATGGGAGGCCGTACAGGGACCCATGACACACCTGGGCCTGGCAGCACATGAAGGCGTACAGGGGCCCAGCAGATTACGGGGGCCGGGCAGCAGCATGAGGGGCGGTACAAAAGGGGCCCATGGGAAATTTACGGGCCTGGCACAGCAATGGGAGGCCGACAGGGG